TAGCACACACCCCTATGCCTTCTTCCACAATCAGAACAGACTGGAATAGACCCACTACTCTGACTCAAGCTGCTTGTAGACCCCGTATTCTGCTTCTTACTCACATGAGACCGACCTCTTCTAAAACCATACCCAGACCTTTTCCTCTCTAATCAGTTGTTGTAGTTGCTGGGGCTTTAGTTTGTTTCATAGCAGCCATGGTGGCTTCCGCCATTAAGGATCTGTCTAAAACTTCCACATAAGTAGGCAATTTCAACACGCCTACCCGATCAAACACTTCTAAATCCAGTCCACCTTCAAATTTTTGTGCTTTCTTGTAATCAGTATCCACCATATGTGGAGCAAACCGTGCTAGTTCGGTGAATTTGGCTTCATACTCAGCTATAGACATTCTTTCCTGTTTAAGTTCTTGAAACTCTGACACTTTTCGATCCCTGAAACATTGGGGAAAATATTTATCATAGAAGATTGCATTAAACTGCGCCCACATCATATTCACATTGTTTCTTCGAATTAGTAACCACCACATTCGAGCTTCATTCATCAGAGTATAGGTGGCTAAGAGGACTTTCTGGACTTCAGAACAAGGGAACACTTCAAATAGCTTTTCCATTTCAAGTAACCACGTCTCTGCTTTCAACGGTTCAATTCCACTAATGAATGTTAGCGGTTTCATCTTCATGAATTTCTGTGTCAAGTTGATGATGTCATTATTATCTGCTTTGGCTTGTGCCGGCGGAGGTGGAGGGGGCAAAGGTTGTTGTCTTTTGCTATTGTGTCATAGTTTCAGTTAATACCGCAAGCATTTGCTCCATTCGGCTCATGCGAGCCTCTGAAGGTTCACTTACATCATTTCCCCTTGCATTCTCCATGTTGCTATAGAAATATCAAATGATAATAAACATAGGAATAATCTTATTCATTTCCTTCAATTCATTTGCTCAAATTTACATTCAGTTTTCATATCCATTGGATTACCACACACTCACACATGCAGATGGAATGCCCCTAATTCTTACTATGACACTCTAAGCTCATATGGACCTGTGTGTGTGGTAGAACACGTGTTCTGATACCACTCTGTCACGACCCAAACCCGCCCCTATAGGTTTAGTATCGCAACCGGCCAATAATCCTTGGATTACCAAAGGCCTCATGACAGATTAACAAATAGATAGGGGCTGTGGAAGCAATTATACAAAATAGACAAGGTCCAATGAGCTGTGATAACATACATGAGACAGTAAAGCTTGAAACTTTTACAAAATGCAGGCGAAGTCAACACACAATATATATATGCACAACACACCTAGGTGTTCAGGACAAAAGTCTAGTCCACAGCTTAACAACAACATAGTCTAATACAAGTTACAAAAATAGCCAAAAAACTGAACTTCATCAGGAACCTCCTCGGGAGGCGCAAAGGCTGGCTGACAAAAACAGAATGTAGACCGTCAACTTTGGCCCTGGTCACATGCTGGCCCACCTACATACATAATATAAACAGTGAGCGGAAACCCAGTGAATAATAACGGAGTAAAGGGTTTTAATGAATGAGTCCATACAGATTCAGAGATCATAATTCATTTTCATAATAAGTTCATATTCTTGTCCAAATCATATACAGAAGTCATAAGTCTTGCTTAAGCATACGTGGTACATCCATTAGCGCTAATAGAGCAGATACAGAATAGATGCAGAACAGGTAAGGGTTATAAATAGCCAGTTCCATAAAGGAACCTCCAGATCCGGGTAACAGAGAATAAACATGTTGAGCCCTATGATGGAGCCTCCGATACGGGTAATAGAATGCAGACATATTAAGTTCTATGATGGAACCTCCGATACCGGGTAACAGCTAACAAATATCACATGATGCTAAGGATACCACAAATACATATCAGAAATTGGACAATCATTCATTGTACAGAACATAGTACTTCAGAAAACAGATCTTATTTTATCACACAGAAAATGAATACAGTTGAACATAACTTTACTAAGTTATTACTCACAGTTGGCTTCGAGGCAAACGGACGGAGCAGATTAGTCAAACGGTATACGGTATGTGACCTACATGAACACACATACGAGTACACGCTTGAAACACACGTTCAAATTGTACATAACTTAATTCGTTGTTCTTAGTGCGCTTCTAGTCTTTAATCCTCATTATGGAGTCTTAAACATGGCCTAGGAATGCCTAGGATGAAATGGTGATGCAAAAATGTATTGGAAAACATTTTGCAAAACTTGCTAAAACTAAGGTCCACGCTCGAGCGTGGATTTCCTCGCTCGAGTGGACATGCAGACAATGAAGCTTCGCTCGAGTGTGAATTTCCCCGCTTGAGCGGACTGCAAACTTTTGAAAAAGTACTGGATACGAGATTTTCACGCTCGACGGATGCTCAATCCCCGCTCGAGCGTAAGACTCAGATCCTCGCTCGAGCGTGGATTCCCTCGATCGAGCGGACTGCAAAACACACAAACTTCTGGGTATATGCATTTCACGCTCGAGCGTGACCATCGACGCTCGAGCACAAGTGCATGTACTCAGAGTGCACGCTCGAGCGTGAAGTTCCTCGCTCGAGCGTAGATCAAATTTCTGGAATTTCCAGATTTGATCGCCAAGCTCAAAATCAACCTCAAATGCATCAAACTCAATTTTCTGGGCCCAAAACTTTGGAACACTTAGAAACTCATGAAACAACATGTTTAATGGATCATAACAAGAAATCATGGCCCAAAAGCATGCCAATTGAACAAAACTCAACGTGAAACTCAAGGATAATTCATGAACATGACTTGAATGCAATTCTTTGAACCAAAGTTTTCCAAAACATGACCAAATGCAATGTTCAACTTGAAAACATGATCAACTATGACAATATGGCATAGAACATGAAGAATTTCAAAAACAAAGCTTGGATTATGACATGCATGCAAGAGTTCTTTAGGAAAACAACCTCAAATGCCATGAATTACACATGCATGTATGGATGAGCTTCAATTCTCCAATCTTAGCTCAATTGACCATCTAACTTTCTTGAGTTCATTTACTTAATGTCTTAAATACAAAGTTTAAGAGTATAGTTCTTACCTAAGGTTGATTTCAAGTGAGATCCTAAACCAAAGCTTCAAATTGTCTTCAATCTCCTAGTCAATTTTTTATTTGAGCTCAACCTCCCTCTACTCTTCCTCTCTCACATTTTCCCCCTTAGAATAGGCTCAAAGTGCTTAAAATCAAGGAAATGAGATGAGTGGAGTGTCAAAATAGCCTTATAGGTAGTAATTTATCAAAACTAATAAAATGACATTATTTTAATCAAATTTAATCGCTTCGAACCGAATTTTAATTAAGCCTACCATAAATTTCTATAAATTCTAATTAGCACATAGATCAAGTCAATTTCTGATTCGGACGCCGATAAGGCTTTCAATTCGCAAATCGAAACTAAAACATGAATAGATCTTCCTACGCCTAACAGATATAAACACAAACAATGCAACACACATGCAGTTTAATTCAGAATTTCACCTTAATCACTAATTAGGCATAATTAATCACGGATTAACGTTAATCAGAGGTCGGGGTTGTTATATTTATCCAAATTTTTTTACCTTGAAAAAGTCAACACATATCACTATTATAAAAATATCATTAGTAATTAATTTTATCATTCAAACGTTAAAATGATATAACTTTTAATCTAACTATCAGTTTTTAACAAAGTTGGTATTTTTAAATTCCTATTGTTGAGATTTATCAAATAAGATCTATGTTTACCATGACGTTGTTAAAAAAATAATAATAAAATTTTTATTGTTGAAACTAACGTCACTAGTAAAATTTTATTTTGTTTCATAGTAAAAATTTACTCTATTCACAATAAATTTTATTGTGAAATTTTAGCGTTTAAATAGTGAAATTCCATCATCATCACTAAACATTATAATCACTATAACTATTACCTCCACAAGTAAAAATATTGAAGAAAAAATTTATTAAAATAATGAAATGATAAGAGTAAAATTTTACTATTAATTTAAAACATAATATCAGCAAACAAAAGACATATTGCATATTACCATAACAAACTAGAGTAAAATTTTATTATCACCTTTAAATAGAATATTAACAAGCAAAGCATAAGCCACATATTACCAAAGCAAATCAAAATAAAGTTGATCTAAAAATATTATTGTTTAATCAAATTCAATAAAAAATAATTATAACAAACAAACTATAAATTGTTCAATCTTCAATCTCATCTGGAAATTTTTTTAACAATTATTTACTATTTCATCCAAAGAAATAAACGAAATACACATCTCTTATCCGACTCAATCGCAAGTTTTGATCCAAACAATCATTAAAATACAACAAACAATGTTTGAAATATAGCAACCATCGAAGTTCTACGATTTGAGTGTGAAACAATCTCTTATTGAAACATTGAAGACGATATATATATACAAATTTAAGTATCTATATAATAAGGGAGGAAGGTTTTTGAAAATGTATAAAATGTATGTGAGATACAGTTCATTTCAACGACTGAGATGATTTTCTTTAACCATTGATGGCTGAGATACTTTCTAATATTTTCAATTCCCGCCCAAAACAAGCCCCTTTATCTCTTGTGTCCCACCCACCTCCACCACCCCAACCACCAAATTATTTGCACACGTCGCTCTCTCTCTCTCTCTCTCTCTCTCTCTCTCTCTCTAACTTCTCAGGTCTCAAACTCTGTCCTCAAAGATCTCTCTCTTCTTCTCCCTCATCTTCACCGTCGAGTTGCCTCCACCGTCGCGCCGCCTCTGATCTCCTCTCAAACTTCTCAGGTCTCAAACACTCTGTCCTCAGAGATCTCTCTCTTCCTCTCCCTCCTCTCCACTGCCTCTCCGTTTCCACTATCGCGCCGTCTCCACGTCACGTCGCCTCCGATCTCCACCGACATAACGCTTCATCTCTTCTCCCTATTAGATCTCAACCCACTACGGCACCTCGTCCTCCATCGTCGAGAGCACCATGTCTTCCCAAACCAAATGTAGAGAAACTGTAAATCATCTATACCTATCTCTGATTTTTATTTTAAAATACCTATCTCTGATTTTTATTTGTATTTTTAATTTTATATTTTTTGATAAGGGAAAAAGATTTTTTTCTTCTTCCATTTAATTTATTATTATTATTATTGCTGTTTTGTTGTTGTTGTTGGGTTTTGATTGTTGTGAAATAGGATCATGAGTGACTATAAGGTGGAGAAGTTCTTTGTGGATTTTCATGGATTCAAATACAGTAAATCATCTATACCCATCTTTGATTTTATTTATTTATTTATTTATTTTTAAATTATCTATACCCTCTCTGGTTTTTATGCTTCAATTTCAGTAACTAAGTGTTGGTTATAGGGAGAGAGAATGAGATATATAGGTCTCATGGTGTTGCTGAGCTATATAGACACAAGTATAGTGGAGTGGATCATTCATTGGTTGCAAAATATGTACTACAGCCCTTTTGGATGCGATTCGTTAACTTCTTCCCACTTTGGATGCCGTAAGACTGTTCTATTTATTTACTGTTCATTTATTGAGTGATGGATCACTCACTTGTATTCATGTTCATGATCATTTTTCTTTTGGTTTTTGAATATATTAAGATTAGGATTGGTATACGATCATTTTTTTCAGAAAATAAGATTGTAAACTTATGATTGAATTCAAAAATCTAAAATGGCATGAATTTTTTTTGGGGGGGGGGGGAATGAATTTAGGGGATAACTACCCATATGAATATTGGGCTGTTTTGGAAAATCCAAAATATGAGACATAAACACCAAGCGAAAGCTTCTCTAGATATAGATAGAAGATACTTGAGTGCTTCAATTATATTTTTTGGGTTTCATCACTAAAAACTGAAAAAAAGGAAAATAAATGTTGGGTTTGATAGGATACTTGAACTGTATGCTAAGATGGTCCTAAAGATATATATCTGTCCATTGTGGTTAATTTCATTAATGAAGAGTTGTACAAAAAATAAAAGAAATTTGGATCATATTGTAGTGGTCATTCATTTTATGATTCATTTTGTTTCTATTTTTCGTGGAATGTATTTATAATTTATTTGTGCTTGGATGTGGTGATGGAGTTGGCTGACTAGAGTTAAAAAGAATGGGAAGGGGGATGGTAGGAGAGATAATAACTATTCACAAGTTCCATATAATTTATTAGGAAGAAGAAGAAAAGAAGAAGGGGGAGGAGGAGATGTGGCGGTGGCGATGGCGATGGAGGGTTGCGAACAGTGGGCCGGAGCTAGAAAGGGCTAGCTGGAGGGCCGTCGCAGTTGGAGTATGTGCAGTGATTTTAGGATTGATCTGGTGTTCTTCTTGTAGATTCATTTTTATTGTTGTTGGTGTTTGTGATTGATCTGGGTGTATTATGAGTGCATATTGTTGTTGTTGATTTTAGGATTGAATCTGTGTTCTTCTTGCTGATTAATTTTTAATTGTTGTTGGTGTTGTGATGATCTAGGTGTTGTGAGTGCATATTGTTGTTGTTGATGATGAATGATGATGATGTAGAATGATGATGAAATAGATAAGATAAGATATATGATGAAATAGATAAGTAAATTTTTGTAGCTAAAATTTGTACATATAAAAGGCTCTGATCTGTCCAAATTGATGATCATGATGAAGAGGTCGAAGAGTGTGGCAAATAGGTCAAAGAAGTTTTATTTTTTAATTTTTTGATGTTTTTTTTTTTTTATTGATGATGATGAACATATAGGATTTGATGATTATATATTGTTGTTGTTGTTGATGATGAATGATGATGATGTAGAATGATGATGAAATAGATAAGAAAGATATATGATGAAATAGCT